TGTGTGTGTGTGTGTGTGTGTGTGTGTGTGTGTGTGTGTGTGTGTGTTTTATGTGTGTGTTCCCTCCAGAGCTGTGTGCTTACAGGCTGCCATTGATTTCAATGCAAGTTTGCCATGTTGTTAAGTGGACCTGGTAAAACTGTGAGAAAAGGAAGGACAGCCCGTCATCCCCACTATTCTGCCCAGGACACGTTAAATGGGAACGTGCTGGCCATCTGTAGGCGGTTAAGTGAATCACGCTATGAAGATGGATTTTGTCATCCTCTGACATTTTAAATTCATGGCTGCTGAAATGCCAAGCGGTGTGTCAGCCCCTGGGAGCATGGTTGCTCTTCTGTTCATAGGGACCCCCCTATATCTGGTAAACAGTGGGCACCCCACAAGTGCCTGCTGTAGGAGGACTGACTGAGTGATTGAATAAATGAATGCCTCTGAACCAGCCTCTGAAACCTGCCTGCTATGTCCTGGGGATCCCAAGCCACGGGGAGGTAGTTGGAGTTGTTGACCCTTCCCCAAGAAGGCCCCAGTCTCTTTCCCCAGGCTTGGACTTCTCCATGCTAGGCTTGTGCTGGGTTAGAGATCAAGAGTGTTCAGTTGCTCTTAGAGCCTTCCTTCCCTCCAGGCCTCTTCGGAGGGTGGGATAGAGAGGCAAGATGGACCCTCTTCCATTGTAATGGCTCTCGGGGATCTGAAGGGAGCTACCTGGGGAGTGTCAGAGCCCCACCCGCCACAGCTGGGGAGAGGGGCTGGCTTCTGCAGCCCCTCTGCAGGTTTTCCTGCCCCTGGGCACTGACCCGAGCCCCTGGCTCTCCTTGCAGAAGGAAGGCTTAATTTAGGCCCTCAGGGGAAAAACCACAATTTGCTCCTGACATGACATACTGACGGGTTTCTGGCTGCTGTGCCCCCTTTGTGTAGGTATATAAGGGCCGCCCTGGGCTCAGGTATGGAGGAGCTGCCAGGAGGCTGGGGACCCACTCACAGAGCAGGAGGAACAGGCTGGTAAGGCGGCCCAGGTGACCTGGCTCCAACCTAATCTCCCCCAGCCCCCAGAACACCCTGTGACTCTTGATGTCCCATCTGAATAATGAACACAGAAGGGGTCACTCTCAGAAGGGACAGAGCCTAGGCATGCCTGGAGGGCAGTAGGAGGGAATTCCCCTGTCTTACAGACATGGGGTTCTGGCTATATAAAGGCTTGACAGAGCTGTCTGGGCTGGAGCCGAAATTGCCCTTGAACAGAGTTCTAGGCTAGCCTCTCTCTCTAAATGGCAGGACCTGACTGACCTCCTACTATGGTGGTATTTCCTTCTGTGAGAGATGCTCAGGTGACAAGGCCCCTCAGGGCCATATTTTGGTAGGCAGGGTGCACAGCCAGCTTTCTTGCTGGGGCCTGTGGTGCCCATGGGACGCCTTTGTGCCGAGAAGAAGGTGCCTACTCTAGGTTGACTCAGGCTGTAATTGAGCCTGCACGTTGATGAGTGAAGAGTTGTTGGAGCCCATCCTTACACCATGATAGTAGCCCTTCCAGGGCACATGGGAGCTACACCGAGGCCCAAAACACAGAGTTGGCCAGCAAGGATATGGACACACATTTGCATAAATGCAACTTGTGAGAAGTGCCTCAAAATAAACATCCCAGTGGCTGGTAGAATTCTCCAGACAAAGCAAGGGGAGAGGCTTCTCCTGGAAAGCGGTGAATCTGATGGCCCAAGACTCAGCCATGAGATGGCATGGAGGAGACTTCCTACCAACTAGAATAACATGTACAAAGGCCCCAGGGTGGGGCAGGATTTAGTATATTTAAAACTCAGTTGGTTTAAGATTAGTGGGTAATGGTGAGAAGCCTTGGGCCTCATCCTGGGGTAGCGGGAGCCACTGAGGGGCATCTAGTGTGAGGGGATGGTTGGAGATACGCCTACAGAGAAATCTGCCCTGTGGATTTGCAGTTATAACCAGCTGTCTGTCCTCTGCCTTCACCCCATTTCCCACTCCAGAGACAATTGCAACAGAGGTGGAGAGGAGGGGTGTGTGTCTCAGACCAGCCTCTCCTTCTGAAAGGGCACTTGGAGCCAGCAGGGAAGCAACCTGGAGCCACCGCTCCCTCCCTGTTGTCGTGGAGGGTCTCCCTGAAGCAGACCCTGCCAGGCTTCCATGGCAACTTTCAAGTCACAGGGACTGTTGGTCCTGCTGGTGATCAGCTCTCTGGCCTTGGTTGAGTTCCCTCCAATCTCTGGGCCTCAGTTTTCCCACCTGTGAAGGGGATCTGCTGCAGAAATTGGAAGCTGTGCTGGGCAATGCATACTTCCCCTGTGTGGCTGGATAGGGCAGAATTCAAGCTACTCCTGGCTGTTTGGAAAGGAAAGGGGCTCCAGAGCAGCAGTAACAGTGATGGAGTGCAGGAGGGGACGGGCTGGGTATGCAGACCAGGTGAAGTCTTTCTCCCTCCCCAGGTGTGCAGCTGACAATGCTGGGTGTGCACACCCTGCTTCTGCTCTGGGGCCTGGCCACTCCGTGCCTGGGGCTGCTTGAAACAGTGGGCACACTTGCTCGGATTGACAAAGATGAGCTGGGCAAAGGTGAGCCAGAGGCAGGTGGGCAGGCCAGGAGGGACTCAACTGTTTGCATGGGAGACATGTTCGAGCTGGGGCCGAATGCTCAGCTGACAGTCTGTGAGGACCTTGCGGGTGCCGGCAGCACATGCTCCGGAAGCTTGGGCTTGCTGTCCAGTTCCTTCAATGGCCGCTGCTGCCCTTCCCTCTGAGCAGGGAACTGGGCTATATAGAATGGCCTAGGGCTGGAGGCAGAGATGGAGAAGGGGCTGGCTGGGTCATATTCCCACCTCTTGTTTCTGGCATGACCATCTCAGGAACAGTACAGGGTTTCCCACAGTGGGGTCTCTCCATCCTGTCCCCCCACAGTCATAGGGTCAGGCTGTGGACCTCAGGATGGGGTTGTTCTAGTATTACTGTATCAACTCCCTGGATCCATTCTCTATTTTGGCCTCAGTGTAGGCCTGGGATCTGGAGCCCACGTTTAACTCACAGCCTTCACCTTGTATTTGCTCTGACATTGGGCAAGCAGTGCTTGCCCCTTTCCAGTCTCCTGTTTGTCTGGAGATGAAAGATGGTTGGGGTGGGGGTGTTCATTTATTCCTGACACCCCCTGGGTACCACAGGTGGAGCTACTGGGAGAAGCTTGAATGTGAAGTGTCAATCCCAGTGAAAAACAGCTCCTAAAGCTCAAAGGAAAGGGTGTCAGCCATGATCCTGTCCTCAGGGTGGAAGAAGAGTTATTGACTGTACCTCTGACCCAACCTTCTCTGCAGCCATCCAGAACTCGCTGGTTGGGGGCCCTATTCTGCAAAACGTATTGGGAACAGTGACATCGGTGAACCAGGGCCTCCTGGGCACAGGAGGGCTGCTTGGAGGCGGTGGCCTGCTGAGCTACGGGGGTATCTTCAGTCTTGTACAGGAACTCTCCGGGTGAGTACTCAGGGCTCTGAAGGGTTCTGTGGGAAGGCTTGTCTCCACTTGCTGCTGGGAAGGGGCGTGGGGGACAGTGATCACTGGTAGGCAGTGATGGTGATGGGGAAATGCCTGTCACTCAGGGCATGGGGCTGGAGACAACTCTAGTTACATGCTGTGTGACCCAGGGAAGGTGGCTTGATTTCTCTGGGCTAACCCAGGTGTCTGTCTGGGTCCTTTCCTCATCTCTTTTGTGTATCTGTTCACAAGACTCTGGCCCTGATGAGGTCCTTCTCGGCCCCTCCCCACCTTCAGGGCCTCTAGGGAACACTGACTCTGTACACACCATACATTTTATTGGTTTGTCTTTGTTACCATGGCAGATTATAAGCTCAAGGAGGGGGAGAATTCTCATCTGGGCTGTACATCAGAATGCCCTCAGCATATAAACAAAGTTTAGAATGAAAGAAATAAATGGCTAATATTTTTTTAGCAGAATAGTCACCTGTAGGGGTTTCTAAGTCACCCTAAACTCTGTTGGTAAGTTGGTCTACCAAATGCAGAGATAGGACAACAGTCACCTCCCTCTATGGGGGGCAGAAGCCCCACCAGGAAGGTTCCCCACTGAGCTCATTCAGTGGTGGAGGGGACCGTGTTCGTGTGTATGGCTGCAGCCCACGCTGCTGGGCCATGGCTGGAGTGAATCAGTCAGCGGAGGAGCCCAGGCTTGTAATGGTAGAGGAGATGGGGGCCAGGTCCCCACATAGCACCCTCATCTACAAAGGGGGCTGGTGACAGCCGATAGCACTCAGCTTCACCGGGTCACTCTGAGGTAGTCCTGGGCTTTACACATGTGACAGCAGCAATGTGATGTATCCCCAGCCACAGTTGGGTAGCCGCAGAGCAGGGGCATGAAGCGTCCTGTGGACACCATGATGCCAGGGCGCCATTTGTCTGCGTGCCTCGGGCCAAATGAAACCACATAGCAGTGAGCACTCAATAAATGCTGCCACAGATTCCGCATATCTTCATCCCTCCTCCGCTGAATGAGCCTCACACAGTCCTTGCTACAAGGAGCCGCAGAATGTGCCAACGCCTGGCACGACAGTGCCGTGAGCTCAGGCAGGGCTGTAAGATGCAGGCTGAGACCCACGAGGGAGGACTTCCAGGACAAGGGGATGTCTGGCTGAAGTCAGGAGAACCAGGCAGACTCAGCTAGCTGGGGGAGGATGCTAGGGCAAAGAGAGTCAGGAATGGGTGCTCCAGATAGGAATAGCAAGAATGGGCTGGAAGAACACCCGGCTAAGAAATCCCTTGCGGGCTGTGCTCTAGGTGGAGCTCCAATGTCACAGAGGCCAAACTAGGGCTGAGGGCGCTGGGCAGGTAGGACCCCCAGCTGTGATGCTGGGGTCACATCGCTGAGTGTGAACCTTGCTGGGAATCTGCCAGCTGGGTCTACCCAGGCCCCCCGGTAGAGCGAGCAGTCCACTCCCCCTCCTCTCCAGGCTGAAGATAGAGGAACTAACTCTCCCGAAAGTGTCAGTCAAGCTGCTGCCAGGGGTTGGGGTGCAGCTGAGCCTGCACACCAAGGTTAGCCTGCACGGCTCTGGGTGAGTGCGCTTCTGGGAGCCCCATCCATTGTCCTCCCATTTCCCCTGCCCCACCTTCCCCAGGGCAATCCCATCCTGTTTCTCTTGGGCCCCCACTCTATTACCTTCCCCCAGAGGATCCCACGTCATGGATGTTCCCCAGGCACCCATGGAGCTTCCCAGGCCCTCCCCCACTGCCTGAAGTGGGGAAGGGGGCCATGCAGATGGCTTTGGGAATAGGGCCTCTGCCATCCACAGGGCCCAAGGATAGAGTGGACATGGCCTGGGTATGGAGATGGGTAAGGTCTGGGAACCAGGCCATGATCATTTTGGGGGTCTTGCAGTCCCCTTGTGGGCCTCCTGCAGCTGGCCGCAGAGGTGAATGTGTCCTCGAAGGTGGCGCTGGGCATGAGCCCACGGGGGACACCCATCCTGGTCCTTAAGCGCTGCAACACGCTCTTGGGACGCATCAGTGTGATGTCAGGGTGAGTCTCTGGCTTGGAACATACTCATTTCAGCATGGGGTGCCTGTCTCCAGCTCTGTCTGAGAGCGTCACGCTGCCCTGCAGTCCCCGCTTTCATCCACAACATAGCTACTCCAGATTGATGTCCTTCTCCTGCCCCTGGGGTCCCACTCAGGGCTCCCTGTCACCCAGAATCTCTGTCCCTGCTCTCAACATGTAAGAGTCCCAGCTCAATCCTTGACCCGAGTGACCCTGGAACTGTTCCTCCACGCTGGGACCTCAGTGTCTCCTGTGTGTATCTGCAAGCACCTTCACACTCATCCCTTTCTATGGGACACCCACTCACCTGCCCATACTCGTGACCAGACTCACTCCAGGGCGAGAGCAGTGCCCACGGAGGGCATGAGCCCTGCCCAAGGTCTCACACACAGATGAGACAGGCATGAAAGTTAGTCTCTGACCACTGCACTGCCCTTCCCTGGCCCACTGCTCCTCTGTCTTCCTGGCATCGTTTTTATCCCATTGAGTCTTAGCTCCTTACTTAGCTGGCTTGGTGTTAGCTGTAGGTGTAGGATGGGGTCCTCTGTGAAGGCTTTAACAAGGGGATGGCAGGTGAGGTCTTCGGGTGCCTTAAACTTTAGCATTTTTCCTGATGCTCCTGTGGCGGTAGGCCCAGGGTATTTGCTGTCTTGAGATGTGGCTCTGTGGGGGTGTGACCCGGCATGGTCTCCAGGCAGGCTTGAGCCCAACTACTGACATTGCTCATCCTTGGCCCCCTGCTCACTTAGTACTCATCCATTGTTTATTGCGCCCCAAGCTGAGTCAGACATCGCTGCACGTGCGGTGACTCTTGTCTACGATTGTTGTGTGAGACGGGGGGTCAGACAGTTCCGGAACACAGGCTGCCTAGTAGGCATGTGCGGGCTCCTCTCATCTGGCAATGGCATTGGGTAGGGTGGGGCTGCCCAGCCAGGGAAGCTAAAACCTTGGGTGTCCCAAGGTAAGGCGGGGCCACGGCTTAAACACAGGTCCTCAAAGCCCCAGCCAACCTCACAAAAGAGACAACCCCACAGGAAGAGGTGGCTGCGAAGAGACAGGAGAAAGATGGGGCCCCTGGTCCCCCTGCCCCGCCATCCACCATCATGTCTCTTCTACCCAGGCTGCTGCCCACACCGATCTTCGGGCTTGTAGAACAGACACTGTGCAAGGTGCTGCCCGGACTGGTGAGTGTGAGCCCTGCCAGGCTGCCAAGCGCAGTTAGCTGGCATCCCTAAGACACCGTGAGGAGCACTGTGTGGGTGGCAGTGGATTGTCACCTGGACTGAAAGGACCAGTGCGGCCACGGGAGGGGAGATAACACCTCAGGTGGGCTCAAGGAGGTTCATTCCGACTCTAGGGCTGTGCGCAGCAATCTGGCTCTGTGTGCTGGAGCACTTTCAGCCGGAGCTCTCAGCCATAATTCTGGGCAGGGTTGGGGTTGTGTTTTGAGGTCAGTGTTGCGTTGTGGCATCTCTGTGTAGTTCTCCTCTGTGGCCGCCTGATCTGTAGGTTGCACCAGCTGGCTGCCTGCATCCATTCTCCTCCCAGGGTGGGCCTGGAGCTTGGGCATCAGTCTGGCCTCAGCCCTGTCTTTTGTGTCTGCCAATAACTGTGACCTTGGCAGGTGGGCCCTTTGTCTCTGACCCCAACTGTGGACTGAGGTCCTGGGCTGGAGTCTCTCTTGGTTGGGTAAAGCGCCTGCTTGCTGCACTCACAATGCAGGGTCCAGTGAGTGGCAGGGCAGGGTGTGGTGAGTCTTTGGGATGACAGAGAAGATGAGTTATCTGGGGACTCCTGACCACAGGCCTCTGGCTCCGCACTGGAGTGGCAGGATGGACCTACGGCCACAGAGGGGAAAGCAACCACCTTGGCCTTGCCCCCACGGCCCCTGCAGTTTCTACCATGCCTCCCCGGCAACTGTTAGCACTTCCTAATGGGGCTCTTGTAAGAGACTGGGTGTCATCTGTCTCCACACCCTTCTTTGCTTTGAGCCTCAGCGTCACAGAGCCAGTCATTTTGGAGAGAGGCAGCCATATCCTGCCCCAAGCAGGGTGTCCCTGTATCTCTCCAGTGACCCTGGTCTCCTCCTATACAGCTGTGCCCGGTGGTGGACAGTGTGCTGAGTGTGGTGAACGAGCTCTTGGGGGCTACTCTGAGTAAGTTGGGGCCCTGCCCCTCCTCTGTGTTCCTTCTGTCTGCCTTCCTTTGCCATTGAGCCATGGAGGGAAGTGGGGGAGGAAGGTTCTCCTCTTCCTCAGGCTGTCTACTTCAGGAAGAATCTTGGAGAAGCCCTAAGGCGGAGACCTAGGAAGAGGTCTTAGCGGGGATGTCTAGGGAGGAGCCCAGATGCCCCAGAGCCTTGTGGAGACCTCTGTACTCAGGGAAGCGTTAGAAGACAGCAAAGGATGTGCTGTGGCCACCCCTCCACCAGGGAGGCTGTGGGAGGCAGGGAAGTCATGGATTAGTTCCAGCAGTCCTGAAAACTGCAACACAGGCTTTGCCATTCCGTGTGGCCTTGGGCTGTGCACCTCCACCAGCTGGGTGAAATGGGGTTACTGAATCACCCGAATGAGTTCTGGGTAAAGGGTAAATGTGCAACAGGTGCTCAATAACTGCCAGTGGCACTGTCCCTGGGGGCTGGGTTGAGGTCTTCCTGTCTGCCCTCTTTCCTGCAGGCCTGGTGCCCCTTGGGCCTCTGGGGTCTGTGGAGTTCACTCTTGCTACATTGCCCCTAATCTCCAACCAGTACATTGAGCTGGATGTGAATGTGAGTGCCCCAAGGCCAGGGTAGCGGAGTTCCTGGTGGAGCCCCAGAGGTGGATGGGAATCCTGGGCAAGGCTGGGAGGCTGAGCAATTACAGATCCTCCTATCTCTGTCTCCTGCCCGGTAGCCCATCGTGAAGAGCATAGCTGGTGATGTCATTGATTTCCCCAAGCCACGCCTCCCAATCAAGGTGCCCCCCAAGGAGGACCATACCTCCCAAGTGACTGTCCCACTCTACCTCTTCAGCACGGTGTTTGGGCTCCTGCAGACCAACGGTGCCCTTGACCTAGACATCACTCCTGAGATGGTGAGTGGGGCATGGGGACTGCTGGGTAGGGACACCTGCTCGCCAGCCTTGGCAGGGCTGCCTCTGAGGTTTCCCATCATCACTCCTAGCCTTGCTTCCAAAAGGAAGGGGCACGGGCCCAATGGGACCACATTTCTTAACATTTTAGCCAGGGCTGGCAAGCTTGTGTGACCCCCCCTGGCTTATAAAGACTGGGAGTGGTTTCAGGAGTGACCACCGTGGTGATGGACAAGAGCACCTGGGCCCATGCTGGCTTTTCCGACAGTGTGGTCCAACAGTAATGAGAGGGGACTGATCTCGGGCAGCTCGGCTGCACACCCTGAATGTCCTGGGCCACCCTTAGCCAAGGGAAGACCCTGGGCAGAGCCTTAGCATCACTTGTGTAAGGTGAGGGCAGCCTTAGCCCGGCCGCTGAGCTGCCGGGTGGACTGTGTGAAGGAAGCTGGGAAGAGCGTGCAGCATGCACCTGGCACCTAGCACAGTGTCAGGCTCGATTGTCACTAAATAGTGGGAGGGTCTGGAGTGAGCAGAGGAGGGAGGGCACAGTCCCCTGTCTTGTACCTATCCCCTGGGATTCCTTTCTTCTCCACTAACCTCGTTTGCTCTCACGTCCAGATTTCCAGAAATATCCTATTTACAACCACCGACCTGGCATCTTTGGCCCCTGAGGTGAGTGGCCCTCTTAGGGGTTCATTCCACTGGTGTGGCTCCTCCCCCTTGAATCTGAATGGACCCTAGAAATTTCCCCAGGCACCCATAGTTAATACTGAGTCCAAACTTATACTCAAGTGTGGAGTGCTAACACCATATCCTTTTCTGATAGCAAAACTGGCTTAGAAAGGAAAGAACCAGCATGTCTCAGAAACCACCTGAGTCCCGTGGTCACGCCACTCCAGCAAGCAGAGAACAGGAGTGTCTTCCCAGACTACCGATTTATAATTACATCATTCTGAATCTCACAGTGACCCCCATCCTTTGAGAAGTGATGGGAATCAGGAGAGTACAGCAGCTTAAAGGACAGAGGCATGGCCTCCAGGACACCTAAATACTGGGGTTTGAGGGCCGGTGCCCCAAGCCCAGATTGCCGAGTTACCGAATTATCAACCCAGGGGATCATAAGATCCACCCTCAAGGGTTCCTCAGACCTGAAGATGTCCCCTGCTCTTAACCTTCTCTGTCCTGGAGAGGCAAAGGAGAGGGGTCATGGAGGTGGAGATAGTGGACATGATCCCAAGGCCCATGTAATTCAAATGAGACCCGCCACTGCACAGCTGGGAGACTTAGAAATCATCTGAAGTTGAAATGATGTTAGGGATCTTAGGGTAGCAGCAGCGCCTGAGAGGGGTTGGATGGAGGGGCAGAGGACCAGGTGGGGTGGGATGGGGAGGGGTGAGGTGGGTGTGGCTGATGAGTTGGTTGTGGAAGACAAGGTCTGTGAGTCTCTGGGCTGAAGGGCAGAGGAGGCTCAGGAAAGGAGGGGGCTGGGGATGGACCCTCAGGAGAACCTCTTGACGGCAGGAGGAAAATGCAAGAGTGGCTGGGTGGCAGAGAAAACCAGGAAGGCCCTTGGGGGCAGCAGCAGATGTTTGTTGTTTTATTTTTGATACAGAGCCGAGTGTAGCCCATGTCATCCTTGAACTTGTTATTTAGCCTAGGCTGGCCTTAAATCTTGGTCTTTCCATTTCTCACTCCCGCGTGCTGTGATTTTAGACGTGTTCCCCATGCTCAGCTTGCTTGGGGAAGATTTGGCCTGTGAGTGAGACAAGAGTCTGATTTGGTGGCCCCACGGCTTACATGATGAGGCGAAGTGCCTGCTGTCCTAGCCTGTAATCTCCCTGCCAAGCATGGGACCTAGAAGATGGTCAATGTGTGGACTGGCCACTTCTAATACTGGGCCCCTAAGCTGCCTTCATGCCCTTGCTCTTTTCTTATCTCTCCCAGGCCCTGGGGAAACTGCCTCCTGGCCAGCACCTCCTGCTTTCGCTACGGGTGACAAAAGCTCCCATGGTCCTGCTGCAGAACAAGAAGGCCACGGTCTCCATCCCAGCCTCTATTCACGTGCTGTCTTCCATCCCTCAAGGAACTCCTGTAGCCCTTTTCCAGCTGAATGGGGTGAGTGGCTGAGGGGTGGGTGGGGAGCCCTACTTTAAATACCGAGACCTCCCACATCATCCCTGAACTAAGCCCAACTCTTTACCTGCTTCCCACCAACCCAGTGGGCCCACTCTGTTTCTTCAAGTCCCGGAAGTTGCTCCGCAGTGGCCTGCCTCTGCTCAGACATGTCCTGAGGAACCTGCTTCTTGCCTCAGCCTGCTCGTCCCAGCATGCCTTGTGCTCTGCCTGCCCTGGCTGTCTCGTCTGCTATCTCCCTAGGCTAACTCCGAGTGTCCCTGGGGAACCTCTAGATTCCCCCAGGAGTTAAACAGAAGGTCCTGGTCTGCAGCTCAAAACACCCGAAGCTCCTGACACACAATAGGCCCAGAGCGGCCCATGGCGGGAACAATCAGAGGCTCTCCAGGAATCTGGGTGACTGGCCCCGTGCCTTGCAGAATCAGAGAAAACATCTGCTCACTTTTCTTTTCAGGTTATGACTCTAAATGCCCACCTGGTTCCATCCACTACCAAGCTGCACATATCCCTGTCCCTGGAAAGGTAATGTGGAGTTTAGGATGTCTGTCCCTCTCCCTAGACACAAGAATTAGGAACTGGCTAAAACAGGGGTCACTTGGTATCGGTGAGCTGGGTATTTAGCAGATTTATCTCACCTTAGGGCCTGCAGGGAGGGGACATGGTGGTCACTACGGACCAAGTAGCAGGGCCTCAGAGCAGATGGCCCTGACTAGCCCCCCTGCAGCTCCCTCTCCTCAGAGACTGGCTCTGGCAGGAGCCTGCCCAGGACACGGAGACTGCATCATAACCCTGAGGCTGACCACAGGGACACGTGTCTCAGAGTGCTGGCAGATGCTCCTGCCTTCCTCAGATCCCTCATCCCTGTCCCATGTTAAGTGGACATCAAGAGAATCCAAACAGCCAAGATGAAGGTGGAAGACCATTCTCATACTTTTACACTATTGGCCAGGCTCAGGCAATGGGCCTGTAATCCGGGCCTCCCTCTCCAACTGGTGTTCTGGCCATGGTGAGGTCTGCCTGCCGCCTTCCCCAGTTGTAGAGAATTTCTAAGGTGTCTTTGAGACATACCTGTCCTGAGCCACAGCCCCCAGTATGCCTCTTCCTGCTCTGGCATAACCTTCTGCTTCCATCGCTGCCCTCCTCAACCAGGTCGGCTGCCTGCTCACCTCTGCCTCCTGGTGGCACTTCATGACATGGCACTCCAGAGGTGAAGATAGAGGTTGGCATGGCCATTAGTGAGCAGCTGCTGGATGCAGACTGATCCATGTGCAGTGTCAGGCTAGGGGAAGGCTGCTCATACACACAGACAGCTTGGAAACTCCTAGGAGGGGTCTGTGATGTCTCAGAAGGGAAGAGAGGGCCTTTCAGTCCATTTCGCAGGGAGGAAAACAAAAACCCTGGGCAAAGGCTGGAGAGAGATGAGCTAGGCCTAAGTCATGTTTCCTGTCTCTGGAAAGCCATGACTGGGGTGGGCTGGGGTGGTTTGGGCCAAACAGATCTCAGCAGGGAGTGAGGAGTGGCCAGAACCTCTCAGCATCTCTCTTCTCTCTGCCAGGCTGAAGGTCCAGCTGGCCTCCTCCTTTTCCCAACCATTTGATGTAAGTTCTGGGGAGAAGGAGCTTGGCAGAGGGCACAGCATTCGGAAGGGGAGTGGGGGCTGAGTCAAGGTCGTGGCTGCCTCTGTGTGGGCCCAGCCCCAGTGAATCAGAGAAGAAAACCAGAGCAAGTGTGCTAGTGTGCATGTTTGTGTGTGCCTGTGTACATGTGTCTGTGTGTGCATTCGTGTGTGCAAGTGACACCAGTCATCTTAGGAAAGCAAGCTAATCCCATGTTTTTCCAAGGTCTTGGACCCTCACAATTGTTAACATCCAAAGGCCCACAAGGTCCAAAGATCTGGAACTTCACACAAAGTCCTGAGTCTGGAAAGTCCTGCTTCTTAGACTTCTGAGGTTCTGAAATCTCAGGGATGGCCTCAGATTCTAGAATGTTCTGAGGGCTCCTAAACTGTCCTAGATCCTAAGGTCAGACTTCACAGAGTTCTACTAGAGCTGGGCGCATTTCCTTCTCTCTTTCTCAGGCACACCCACCCAAACCCACAGAATCTCCTAGAAGAGAATGTCTTCCAAGATCTTGGGCTAAGGGTGAAGCCTGCATTAACTTTGCTATTACTGGGTTACACAGTCCAATCCAAGGGTCCGGTTATCTGCCAGGAACTGTTTCTTTAGGCTTGCTGGAGGCTTCTGGGCCTCTCGTTTCCCATGAAGCCCCTCCCACTCCATCCTCTGTTGCAGGCATCCCGTCTAGAAGAATGGCTCAGCGACGTGATCCGGGCTGCCTACATGCAGAGGCTCAATGGTAAGGCTGAACTGGAGACTGACTTGCTCCTTGCTCCCTTGCTCTGATGAGAATACTGAGGCCATAGAGATGCCGGTGTTTCATTGATGCAGCAACGACCAGCACCATCATGCTCTTCTTTGGGCCTCCAGCGCTAACCTCACCCAGGCCCTGCTTAAGCTCCCACTGTTAAGTGGGAAGCAGCCATATCAACCAATGGCTAGACCGGAGATGGCACAGGATGCAGGGACTGATGCCTCTAGATGTGGCTGAAGGGGTACCACAAACATGACATAGAAAAGAAGGGCGTTGTCTTGTTTTGTTTGGGTATGGTGGGGTAAGTAGGAATTTGCCAACAAGAAGCTGAGTTCCCACAGGGAGAAACTTCTGTCTGTCATCAGGGTCTGAGAAACCTCCGTCTTTGTCTTCAACCGTTTTCTCTTCACAGAACACCTGGAGGTTGGAATACCCCTGCCCAAGATTCTCAACCTCAACTTTGCCAATTCAGCAGTAGACATCATTGAGGTGAGCATCCCCTCGTGCCCCCAGATGACATTTTAGCTTATGTTTGACACCTCTGAGGATCATGCCCTGCCCATCCTCTGACCTGCCTCTGTATCATTTCTATATAGCTCAGGGAATCACAAACCACTTACCTCAGAAATAGCAAATACATAGCACATGTATATCTACCTTTTCCTTCCTTGCCCATGGCAGACATTGTCAATCAATCACAGAATTCTGTTGAATTAAGTAAGTAAGACATGTCTGACCCAAAGAACGGCCCTCAGATATACTCACAGAATCACAGTTCTTCGGTTCATGGATAGCAAATATTTGTGCTATCCTTCCTTCATCTTGTTCCCGTGGCAGGCCTGACTAATAGATTGTGACACTGACCCCTCCCCCTTTTGTCTGACAAAAGCCTGTTCAAATCAGCACATTTTTGAGTCTTGAGATAGTTCTTTCTGTACCAATTTTTAAGGTGAGGATGAAGGCCAAGGGGATGTCAAGGTTTTTCAGGATGTTATTGGTAAAAATGGCCCTTGAAATTAAGTCCGAGTCAGCAACCTGACACACACACTAGACACACTCACCTGCTCACCCCTCATTTAATGCTGAGTCTCAGGTCAAGCAGGTGGCTAGGCATGGGATGAGACAGGCATGTGGGGCTGGGGCTTGGAGACCTAACTGAGAATTCCTGTTCTTACAGAATGCTGTTGTGCTCACTGTGGCCCCGTGAGGCAGTGTGGCTGCTGCTCTCCCTGTTCACTACAGAGTCCTGTTTGTCCGCCTACTCTGCCTCAGTTTCCCTCCCAGTCTCTAGCCTGCATTGGTGACAGTATAAGTGCCCCTTGTCCACTTGGGCCCACCTTACCTCTGTCCATGTGACTCTGCCTGTTTTTTTTTGGGGGGGAAGGGTGGTGTTGGGTGTGTGTGTGTGTGTGTGTGTGTGTGTGTGTGTGTGTGTGGCCAAGTGGCCATATATCTGCCTCAGAAAGCACATGGTACCTTGGTTCAGTCCCAGCTTCAATAAACTGATCCTTGTGCCTGCTGGCTGGTTCGTTCCCTAGCGACACAGGAGCAGCGTTGGCCTTGGCCTCCAATGACCTCTCTCATCCTTAGCAGGAGCTCCTGAGAGGTGAGAGGACCTGGAGCCTGGTTCTTGGAGTGCTGAGTTCCAGCCCACGCAGCTGGCCTGAGCAGCCTCTGATCCTTGTCCTGTCTCCCTGACTCTACCTTCCCCTTCCTGTCATCCATCCTCCACTCTCCATCAGAACCTGTGTCTCTGAGTTTTGGACACCTCTCAGGGGGGCATAGGAGTTGAATTTTTGAGAGGAGAATATGATTTTTTTTTCCAGGGAGAAAAGGAGGCTAGAACTCTGTGAAGCAAGGCTGAGTGAGGCTTACCCAGCCCTGGAGAGACACCCATTGACTCAGGAGAAGACAGGGATGTTCCTAGCACAAGAGAGCGCTGCCAAATTCTCTTGACACACTTGATGGTCAGCTTCATTCACCAGTGTGACAACTCTCTAGGGGACATAGTTGCTATGGATTGCAGCTGAGGCAGACATCATGGCGCTGGGAGTGTGTCAGAGGAGACATTCACCCACTGTCAGGAAGCAATGGGAGAATTCCTTCTTCCCCCTTCCTTTCCTGTTCCCTGGGCTACCTGCTTCCTGCTCATATCTGGGGTGGGTCTCCCCTTGAGCTCATCACTCAAACAAACCCATGGGAGGCTTTCCTAATCTTTCTGGCATCACCCAATGCACATGGCAAGAAGCTGTCCAAGTTCCTACTCAGTGGTCCAGGCAGTCTTCTACTGCATCTACAGGGGGCTCAGATGCCTGGCCTTGGGCTCTGTCTCAGTCCCATGTGTGCTCATGGACTGTAGCAGGGTGTCTAAGACTGGCTGGTTTACAATGAGCAGGAATTTACTGGCTTGCCATTCTAGAGGATAGCATCTGAGATAGAGGAGCTGGTGTCTGTGGGGTTCTTCTTGCTGTGCCATCCCATAATGCCTGACAAAGGCCAAGGACAGGAAAGAGATAAAGAGGTAGAGGAAGGGAGGAGGAACAGGAGGAAGGAAAGGGAGAGTAAAAGGGAGAGGAAGAGGGAGAGAGAGGGAGAGAGAGAGAATTCTTTCTTTAGAAACCGTTCACTGAGGGATCCACCCCTTGCCTGTGGAATGCACCACCCTCGAGGTTGGAGCCCCCACAAGCCTAACACCTCCCCATGGCCCCGTCACCTGGCCTCACCACACAGGGAACACACTCAGACGACAGCAGGTGCTTGTCTGTGGCACAGGGATGTCACAGTTCTCACCCAGGTCACCAGGGGGCTAAGCAGTCAGCCCCTGTCGGGTGCAGGCAAGTGGGCCTGGCACGCATAAGTGAGTAGCAACCTGGCTGGGCCTTCAGATGGCTGCTTCTTCCGGGAACTTCTTCCTGAATCAGGCTGGAAGCCCTGCCCCCGCCCTTGGGGTTCTTAGTGTCCCTGTCAAGGCACTCGGTCTAATTCTCATACTTGACTGAGAATCCCCCAAAGTCAGGGACAGAGTCTGAATACCACCCCGCCAGGCACCAGCTTCCACAGTGCCCAGCCTGGGTAAGGTTTCCATGCTGCTACGGTTTAAGTGGGAAATGTTCCCACAGGGCTCATGTGTTAAATCTTGATCCCCAGCCGGTGGGCATATTGGGAAGTGATTTCATCATAAAGGCACTGGCTTCATGGCTTGGTCTATACAAGGGTACAAAGCTTAACAGGACATAGCAACTGGGTCTTGTTGGAGGCCATTTTTCTCAAGAGTGTATCTTGTTCCTTGCCCTTTCCTTTGCCTTTTCTGGTTCCTGCTCCTCATGGGACGAACAGCTTTCCTCCTTCAAGTCCTTCGGCTGCGATGTTCCATTATTCCACAGGCCAAAAGTCAATGGAGCCAGTTGACTGTAGGCCGAGACCTCAGAGCTTCTTTTATTTTCCTCGAGTGTTTTGTCACAGTAATGGGAAAACTGGCCCTCTACATCCTGTTTTTCCCATTGGATTTCACTTCAGTTTCAATGGTGAGACCCTGAGAAGGGTCAGACAGATCCTAGGTGGCAGAAGCAGGAAGTTTGTGACTCAAACAAGATCCTGGTGACCCTAATCCCAGAGCTGGGCTATTCTTGGTGACATTGTGGCACCGTGCTGCTGTCGTCACGCCCTCACTAAGGGCCAAGCACAGTCCACATGCTCTTGCATTCTTATGTTATCAACTTCCAGAATTAGCCTTGCTTTCTAGTCACTGTACAGGAAACTAAGGCCCAGGGAACCTACGCGACAAGCCAAGGCTATACAGAGCAGGATTTGAACTCTGTGTCTCTCCTCTAGGTACAGAACCCAGGCTCTGAACTTCCACTTTTGAGATAGGGGATAGGACATGGTGTGAAAGTGACCCCTGTGGACAGTCCTGGTGAACTGACCATTCATATAGGAGACAGTGCTGAGGGGAGGCATTCACGGTGGAGCGGGGGCTCTTTTCCATCCCAACAGTGTGACCCAGCACACATGTACACACTTGGATCCCTGCACGGCTGGGTCACCTTCAGGGTGAGCCACCTCCTGGGAGATCTGGACCTTCTTCTGCCATGCTCACGTCACAGCTTGGCTCTAGACAAAGGGCCTTTTGGACCCTAAGTCCAGGTGATCTCCTGGGCGCCGCTGCACTAATCCTTCCAGGACGGCCAAGGTGGCCCCAGGAGGCAGGCCAGCTTCAGAGCCAGCCTGGCCTCAGCACTGAAGGCGTAAGAGAGTCTGAAGGATGGACAACAGCCGCCCTCAGGTAGCCACCGTGCTTGGACCTCAGCCAGTCACATGGGCTTCTCCTTCCTCGGGTGAGGAAACGGTGATAGATATGTTTGCTTAGGAAGCATCTGGGGCACAATTCCTTGGTGCCAGGCAGTAGAAAGTCAGATCTTTACAGAATGGAGACCCAGTGACACAGTTGGGAATCATCATCTGCAAACGTCACTCTTAATCTCTCCATGACACAGAGATGCTGACAGAAGCACAGGGAAGGGCAGGTGTGGTCCAAACTGGTGCTCAGAGTAAGGTGAGCAGAAACCACTCCACACAGGGCCGTTGCTCTCATTGGAGGAATCATGAGGGCCTGTCAGAGTGTCCTGGGGCTTCATGCATGATCCAGACTTTTCCTACCAACCTTCCACATTCTTCATGGTGTAGAGCCAGACTGAGGCCAGGGAGGGGGAAGTCACCATGGTTGTGAGGGTGAATGCAAACCCCAGGGTCCCTCTGGTCCTCATGGGGTTTAGAGAGCTCATCTGGGATTTCTTCTTCATGCCCTGTGTGGCTTTGTGGAGCCTGCAAGGGCCCTAGATGGTGAATGAAGCTGAGAAAGCCCTGTCCCTAAAAGCACTGTGTGCCAGGTCCCATCTCTAGCTGCAGTCTGCTCCTCACTCTGAAACAGACAAGGCCGGCGCTGAGGACAGAGCTCAGCTGGTTGAGGGCTCGCTAAGATCATGCAGAAAGTCTTGGGTTCAATCCTCAGCACCACACAGGCCACGTATGGTGATGACTGACTGCAGGTCTCGGCCAGGTGAGTGCAGGAGGCTTAGAAGTTCAAGGTTAGCCTCAGCTAACCCCCCAGAGGCCCCAAATAAGCCTGACAAGGCAAGGGTTGCCGCCATCTGCCCCACTGAAATAATGTAGACTTGGAGAGCACAGGCTCACACAGCATGAACCTCAGGTGCAATCTACCTACAGGCCACCTGGAACAGGCAGTACCTGCCTTGGGAGGGGTGAGAACCCAGATGTGCTCACTCGAAGGCCTCTCTGAGATCTCCGAGAATGTACCCAGATCAGGGTGATAAACCCCAGCTCTTGTGACACCATCCGGGGCTGGGCACACTTCTGGGAATTAGCCACAAACCACAAACTCTTGTGGTTTTGGGGCTCAATGCTCAAGTTGTAGAGAAAATCTGAATTCCGGTCTCTCATAATTACATGGCCCTTCCCCGTCTGGGTCCCCGCTCACATTGTGGCCACTTTATAAAGCTGATCTGTGACCAGACGCAGCCCATAGCAGAGGCCTGGGCAACGGACCTCTCAGGATTGACTTGCACGACCCCTCAGGGGTAAGAAGGGTCCCTTCTCTGTCACAGGTCCAGGATGGTAGGGGAGCCTGAGGGCTAGTGAGGGGATGAGAAATCCCACCCTGCATGCTCACAGGGAAGCCCCGCCAGCTGTCAAGAGCTCAGATATCAGCAAGTAGGCCCAAATCAGGACATACATATTATGTAAAAGCTGCACCCAACTTTCCCAGGACTGTGGGCCATCTGGGACTTTTATCATCTCTGTGGTGCTTTCCAGTTGTTTGCTAATGCTGGAAATGCTTCCACTGCTCTCCATTTTTTTTTAAATGAAAGGTTCTATCTATCTATCTATCTATCTATCTATCTATCTATCTATCTATCT